CATAATATTCTTCCTATAAAAACAGTTATTCACTATTTGGTAGAGCCATGTCAACTGTCAAATTTGACACATTTTTCGATGATCTCACCACGTGGCATGCATTGTCTCTCTTTGGATCTCAATATTTTCCCGCTAGATGGCCAAGACCTAGTGTTTTTGCAGTATTTTGACAAGCAAATGTATGACGTCACCATTTCAACCATCAATGAATGCATGGAACTAAAACAAAGCTTAATATAAAGGAAAAACTAGAGAAGTGACGGAATTACCTACGATGTCGGAATATACCGCGTTTACCCTATAGTTATTATATAAAAATTTAGTATTTTCAGATTTGGGACCAATCAACAGACCATTCTAACTTCTAGGTGTGTTTCGCATTTCAAAGTAAATTATGCAGCTCACTTCTAGTCCAGCTCCAGCCCCAGGCTAGGGTGCAGAGGATGCAAGCAGAATTGCCAATGTAAGGGTGCAGAGTTTGCAAGCTGCGTTGGCAAGATATCGATATGGATTTTCAGCCCCAAATGTTACAAAATGCCAACCATTTTCAAGATGCGTCGCCGGGTAGGCTAATTTTTAATAAGAAAATGCTGCTAAGTGCTAACAACTTTGATAGTATATCCCTTACTCTCCATGCACTGCAACACTTACTCATCACAACTGATTTCTTGACGAGCTTCACTGCATTCTGATCCATCTAACCTCCAACGTACCTGAAACCTTACTGTGTGCGCTTGCAGTCTTTCAGATTTTCAACTATTTTCTAAACAGTTGTCCAAAGACTGGTGAATATCTGAAATGCAATAATTTCAATTAAGATGTTTCAGCAAGATCTTCTAAAGGCCTAAATTTTGCTACTGATGCATCACCAAACTGCCAAAGATCTTGTAATATTCACCCACTTTCTGCACCCTTGTTATGTACTATTAGCCCAAAGCGTCACCAGCCATTTTCAAGATCTGATGCTGGGTAATTTTTAATAAGAAAATGCTGCTAACAACTTTGATAGTGTATTCCTTACGGCTTACTTTCCACGCACTGCATCATTGCAAATGGTTTCTCACCAATCTTCACTGCATCCTGATCCATCCATCTGCAAAGCTTACTGTGTGCGCTTGCGCCTTGCAGTCTTCCAGATTGTGATAATTTCAAAGTAATTTCTGCAATGCAATAATTTCAATCCATATGTGTTGGCAAGATCTTCTGAAGGTGTAAATTTTGCTGCTGATGCATTGCAAATGTTTCAATACTCACCAACTTTCTGCACCCTGGACTTGTTTTGAGAATTAAAAAGTGTTAAAGTGGAGTGGAGTGTTCAAGAATTAAAAAAAATTGGTTCTAAAAAAATTTGTATTTTCCATTATGATTAACTGTACCATAATCTGGAACATGGTGGCAATCTAGGAATTGGGGAAACCTCTATTTAGACTCGTTCACTTTTAATCACTTCACTCATTCACTTTTCATCATTTGAAATACCACTTCTGTAAGTCTTGTAATCTGTTAGTACGTAAATTTGCACAATGAATGGAATAGCTCCTTATTAAAAGTTCTTTATTAAATGATACACTAAACGACTACAAATTCTTGACCTGGTCTATATCGAATTACTGCAAAAGGTATGCCAGTGGTGCGTGGTATGCATTTAGACGTGTAATTAGCCATTACATAGTGATCGCGGATGGATAGTGAGCGCAAATAGTGATCCCGCGCTGCGGAAGAAAGTACGAAATTAATTGCAGCATAAGCACTAACCTCCTTCAGCATAATCATGCCTTCTAATCATTCGCAACCGTCATATCAGTTTGCTTATTCAAACGTGATATTACTTGTAAAAATTTTCCTGAATATAGGTAATAAAAATGACAGCATTGAAAAAATTGCTTGTGCGTTAGCATGCACTATTGCCATACCGTTTTGACACGGCCCATTCATTCTATTTGTAATCAATATTTATGAAATTAAATACAAGGTTTTCAATGCCAATTGCTTTGTGGCATGGATATTTTTTCATATTTCCTCTACTCCCAATTTAAACAGTTTTGGTTAAGTTTGGCTAGGTTAGGTTACACTCTTTTGCCGAATTAATTGAAGGCAAGAGGACGTGAATATAAAAAAAACATCGATACTGATCAATGAGTATTTACATGTCTGCATTAAATTTCATATCTATTGCTAATGAATGGAGAAAAAAATCGTGCCAAAGTGGCGTCAAGATGGCTACGCTATGCCACGCTTATGGGATGGCCCACACGCTTCTGTCAGACCAGTCGCGTCGACAATTTTAGGATGAATTTTTTGGAAAGAATTTTCATAGCGGGTATAATAAGCATAATTAAGTAATTTCAATCATGATAGAGCTAAGAAAAAAGCTATATACAAACAATATTTTTGTGAGCGCTGTCAAAATTCATTTCAATTTTATCTAGCGCGATAAAAGCAAATTTGTAGCACGTTTCATGCACATAAGTTTTTATAATCGAAACCGAGCTTAACCTTTCCAACAACAAAGCTATTTATTCAAAATACACTACTGCAAGCATTAAGAGAATTATATATATGCATATATAAGACCTCTCGGAGACTTTTACAACCGGGCTCGCAATCTACAAGTTTCAGTGAGCCTAAAATATCTCCCAAACTAATGAATGCAGCTTGATGAAACTTTGCACACGTATTCACTAATGTTGATGTTTAGGTCGTGATTATTTTTTAGTTGTGCCTTTAATTAAAGGTACACAAAAAGCCTGTGCAAGAGGATAGGAGATGTTAGGCTCACTGCAAATTTAGAACCGTATAAGGCGCACCAAAGGTGAAATTGAAAGAAATTATCATGACCTAAACATCACCGTTTTTTTAACATTTGCTAAGTTCATTAGTTTGGGAGATATTTTAGGCTTAATGGGAAAATTAATTAATGCAGGGAAGAAGTGAAAAAAATTATCATTTATCACGTTCATTTGCTTGAGGGCATTGCAAATGAATAGTTTCGTTTGTAATTTGGTAAAGATTATTAAATTTGTCATTCAAGTTTATCTTGAAAATTTTTTCACAAAGTGTTGGATCGATGCCGTATATCATTTGCGAAAATCCCCTCAACACAGTGTTTGCTCTAAATCAGGAATTAAATCAAAAGCGGAATCCAGAAGGGAAATCAGGATAGGCAAGCACTTGTACGTCTCCTCCTATGACAAATGCGCCAGTTATTTCTTTTCTGAACGAGAGAACGTTAGACTAAATATGAACTAGTCCGAACAACCAATCATAGTTTGATGCGTGTTGTCAATATTTGTGTTGCCAGCTGCAGCCAGCCAGCAGTGCGTTTTGAACTGGCACCGCGTATGGTTGTCGATGCATGTGCTTCCAGTCATGCACTGTCGTCTGCCTTGATTCTACTAGCGTATGAGTCAGAGGTGTCTGGTGCGTAAAAACTAAGATTTTTTGTCAACTGATTTTAATGAATTGAATTATGATTGTTTAACATTCGCGTTCATAAATTTAGTCTGCAATGCATAGGCTTAATTTGCGTTCAGAAATGGGATGTTTACCCTAAAAAAACGTGTTCTCGATTGCCACTATGATCTGGAATGTTGGGCAGAATTTCCCAAAAATCAAGGGTAGATAAATATAGTTTCATAGGCAAGCTACAAAAAGGGTGGGCATTACCCCTTTCTTAGGCAGACATAAAAATTCGCTGAAATTGCAATATTCAATGATAGTACTTAAAAGTATGGCCAATTTTAAGATATATTCATTCATAAGCATTTTAAAAAGTTTTTTGTGTATAGGTAGTAAATCACAATTAATAAAGTGATCATATATGGGGACTTGTCAGCTTAAGGTACCTATAAAAAATTTGCTAATTTTGACATTGAAAGTTTACTATTTGGATGGTAAAATCAACTTCATTGCTCTTGTATTCTTGTATTATAACCCATACAGAGGAAGCAATGTTAGCAATCAAGATTGAAAAAAATATAAGTATATTTAGTATTTTATGGCAAGATATTTCCATAGTCCATACCATCCAAATAATGAGACATCCATGCCGCATGTAAAGAGTTGCATTCATATACAACATATACCTAAAACTTGTGAAAAAATTATCAGAAAGAATTAGTATTGGTGAAGGACATGTCATTGTCTAGGTCAGTGCAGAGACCATCTTGCTTGCTACTGCATTGGCTCTATGATCTGTAGCGAAGGAAATGCCAAAAGCTTGGACTGCAGTCAAAGCCTGGGAAAGCATCTATTGGTGAACCATAGGTACCTCAGACTGTAAAACTTGACTTGAATTATAGTATGGCTAACCACTAAGGGCTAACAAACATATCTACCAAGTGCTGTAGAAATTTACCTTTATGCATATGTCCAAACATGGTCATTTCCATATCTAAGCATTGGCGGGTGTATGCTCTTATATGATCACACTATTTTTTGCCATCTTTTTTCACCTTCTTGCATTTGCTTCAAGTAAATAGCATCATAATCAGTTGATGAAGCAAGTTTTTAAACTATGTTACTCGCAACTGTCATGGGCTTACCTAAAGTTATTTGTGGGCTAGAGCTGCTAAAGTGAATACGATGAGGACCTGAAATGCCGTTTTTGCCATTTCTCCAGAGTACCGTAAAATGGGGTAACTTAGACCAGCAGGGTATCTTAGACCACTTTTTGTTATTTTAACGAAAAAACCCAGAACTCAAAAACTATTTGACATAGAAAAATTTTGTCAATGGGAATTAAAGGCGTAATACTGAGGCTACATAAAACAATAGAAAGATTTAAAAAGTTTGCATATCTAATAGGTTGAAAAATTAAAAATTTGACCCCAAAAAAGCTATTATTTAGAGCCTGTCAGAGTACCCCCCCCCCAAATTTTTAAATTTTCGATTAAATAACTCCAGATTTTGATGCATTGTAGTAGAACTCTTCTAGTTACATATGCAAATGACAAATTTTAGGAAAGTGTCACAGTTTGCAAATGGGGGGGCGCCGCCCCCAAATGGGGGAACTTAGACCACCTAATGTCAGCCCTGACGGGGTAACATAGACTGGCTTGGAAGTTAATATAAAATTACCATATATAACATATTTTATGTTTGACAGCCTATTTATGTTTTTTCTTTATGTTTCAGACTCTACAGTCTTATATATGGTAATTTTAACTTAATTCCAAGCCAGTCAATATTTACCCCATCAGGGCTGCCATTACCCCATTATGGGGCGGCGCCCCCCATTTGCAAACAATGACACTTTTCTCAAGTTTGTCATTTGCATATGTAACTAGAAGATTTCTACTACAATGTGCTAAAACCTGGAGTTATTTTACCAAAAAATATAATTGATTTTACCACCCAGTCTAAGATACCCCAAGAGCTGGGGTAACAAAGACCATCACTTTTTTTTTTTAAATTACATACCCGTAAAATGGGGTAACTTAGACCACTTTTTTTCATAAATTATGCCAATTTTTTACTAGCTAAATTAAACATGAATTGAAACATGCAAAATACAGGTCTATACTCTAGCTGCTAGAGTATAGACCTGTATTTTGCATGTTTCAATTCATGTTTAATTCTAGCTTCACTCACCATAAATTGCTGGCTCCTGCCTCTCATAGTCTTTATGTAATTTCTAAAAAAGTGATGGTCTTTGTTACCCCAGCTCTTGGGGTATCTTAGACCAGGTGATAAAATCAATTATATTTTTTGGTAAAATAACTCCAAATAACTCCAGGTTTTGGTGCATTGTAGTAGAACTCTTCTAGTTACATATGCAAATGACAAACTTGAGGAAAGTGTCATAGTTTGCAAATGGGGGGCGCCACCCCATAATGAGGGAAATGTGACTACCTAATGGCAGCCGTGTTGGGGTAATATTGACTGGCTTGGAAATTAAGTTGAAATTACCATATATAAGACTCTGTAGAGTCTGAAACATAAAGAAAAAAATATGGTAATTTTATATTAACTTCCAAGCCAGTCTATGTTACCCCGTCAGGGCTGATATTAGGTGGTCTAAGTTACCCCATTTGGGGGCGGCGCCCCCATTTGCAAACTATGACACTTACCTTAAATTTGTCATTTGCATATGTAACTAGAAGAGTTTTACTACAATGCATCAAAACCTGGAGTTATTTAACCAAAAAATAAAAAAATTGAAGGGGGTACTCTGACACGCTTTAAATAATAGCTTTTTTTCGTGGGTCACATTTTTAATTTTTTATCCTATTAGATATGCAAACTTTTTAATTCTTTCTATTGTGTTATGTAGCCTCAGTATTAGGCCTTTAATGCCAATTGACAAAATTTTTCTATGTCAAATAGTTTTTGAGTTTTGGGGGTTTTTGTTAAAAAAACGAAAAGTGGTCTTAGTTACCCCGCCGGTCTAAGTTACCCCATTTTACGGTAAAGACTATGAGAGACAGGAGCCAGCAATTTATGGTGAGTGAAGCTAGAGTATAGACCTGTATTTTGCATGTTTCAATTCAAGTTTAATTTAGCTAGTAGAAAAATGGCATCATTTATAAAAAAATGTGGTCTAAGTTACCCCATTTTACGGTACTTAGTTTTTTAGTCAGCTCCGACAGATGCAAGAGTGTGTCAGAGAGCTATGTCATACATGACGTAACTCGTACACAATCTGTGGTTGGTTCGAGCTTGTTGGTGGGCTGCCCAAAGCAATGTGGGTGATGTGAGGGGCCTCTTTAGTGCATTTTCTCATTTATGGAAAAAATGCACTATTGTGCTCGCCATGTCAGTCTGTCCATCCGTCCATATGTCTGTCCGTCTGTGACTTCACATTTTCGTTGATGAGAAAATGCACGCTCTGTCACTCACTGCAGTGAGTACTGTGTTATATTTTTTTATCATAACCATATATGGTAACTTACCTGTGAAAGGGTTGAATATGTTTTTATTAATTTTTACTAAAACAATTACCCAAGGTCCATATGAATGGGTGAAATTGACAGAATAACATGCATTTTTTCTTATTTATGGATGGCCTCTGCCTGATCTTTGAATTTTGGCAGACTGAAGTGGGGCATTTTAGATTGCAGTATTGGTATAAAAGGTTGGAAAAATTGAACTCATTTATTAAATCTCATAGGTTCAAACTAGTGTAGAAAAAAATCTACTATGTCATGACTAATTTTGAAACTGAGTTTTCAAATCTGTTGTTTTTGGTCTAGTTTCTGAACTATGGACCTATTTTTCAAACCATGAAGCTCAATACTTGAAACTGTACCATATCTCTAATTTTATCCTAAAGATACAAAATTTTGCATCATGTTAGAGGCCATAAATTTATTACATGGTGATATGATCCTATTGTTAGCATTGAAAATGTGTGTCGTAGTTACATTGCTGTTATCAAAGTTACTGGCATGCCTGCATTTACAAAACCATTAAGGCAAATCAATTTTTTGTTCAAAATTGATAGGCAGGAGGCTGAGGACATGAATGCTACTAGGAGACTTGACAAAATGTTTTCTGCATGGAAGTTTTTAGCAGACAAAGGGGGTAGAACTAAGCTTCTAAATATCTAATTTTTTTATATGACATATTTGTGAGATGCTTAATTTTCAATCAAACCAAAATAAGAGTTGATAGCCTCAATATATTTGTTTCAATATAAAAGGTGTGGCTTGGAACAGTGATAACTAAGAAAAAGTCAAGCTTTACCTCACTCATTTAAATTTTGAATATATTATAAACATTGCACAATTGCTCTTATATGCATTAATCTTATGGGACTTTTACTTTTACAGGAAAGTGGACTGAACACAATGATATATGACAGCAGTAGCCAACACTCAGCCATGGATACAAGCACATCTCTACTTGATGATGAAAGTACAAAGCTTTATTCAACTGGCTTGGCTCTCACCTCAGCTGCTAACAATGCCAACAACAATAATAGGCGTCGGAAAGATAATAAGGGAGAATACCCAAGCCAGAGAGAATCTTGTATCAAAATGTTTGAACACTGGAGCGAGCAGGATCAACTGGAGTTTATGGAGCATCTTCTCTCAAGGATGTGTCATTACCAGCATGGCCACATCAATGCATTCCTTAAACCTATGTTACAACGAGATTTTATTTCCTTGCTGCCAAGTAAGTTGTTTATTTTTCATCATTGCTCCTTGATTCAGGCAAGTGATAAGTTATTTTCTGTACATTAGTTCCAAGAAATTCATTCCAATCTATAAGTGGTTGCAAAAATTATCATTTCTTTTCAAGAATCATGCAGCATGTTTTCAATGATATTGTGTGCTGCCCATTATTTGCGACTCAGCAATTTATTGAAACTAAGTTTATTTGTGGTTCTATGGTTTAAATAGCATATTATTTTAATGTAAAATTCTGCATAGACAGGATTCTTAAAAATCAGTCTTTCCTTGTTATCAAATTGTTAATTCAGTCCAATATGCATGTTGTGAGTGCACAACATGAAGATGAATTCCTCTGCTCCAGATTGAAGTCCAACATTACCTTACTTCTCTATCTTGGAGTGCAGACACTGGTATCATATTCTGCATTTAGAGATTGCCATGTATTTGTTGATTACATTTGCTAACTAAATGTCAATAATAAGGAACTGCGCTTGCATGTAATGAAATTGATTCAATATGTTGCCTTATTCATTTGATCCTCACATATTTGCTTCTTGCAGAGAAAGGTCTTGACCATGTGGCTGAGAAAATATTGAGTTACCTTGATGGGAAGAGTTTGCGGGATGCTGAACTTGTGTGTAAAGAATGGCAGAGAGTTATTGCAGACGGTGTACTTTGGAAGAAACTCATTGAAAGGAAAGTTCGGACGGACCCATTATGGAAAGGCCTTTCTGAAAGAAGAGGCTGGTAAGTTTCTGCAACAGCCATGGAATATTTTAAAAAGGTTTGCCACATGTAGCTTGTTATCATTCTGCTTTTTGCATGTGTAGGAGAATTTAGGTGTTGGTGTTTTCACAAAATAATATTTTAAATGTTTACTTTTTATCTTGAAGTTTATTCATTTGATTTTTTCCTTTCTATTGCTTCAAGTATAAGTTATTTTGTGTCTTTGATTCAATTCAGAAGCTGATGTTTTGAAATGCTCTCAATTTCATAGCACTGAAATCAAAATTTATGTGCCACATACCTGGGTACATTTGTAGTCATATGATAAATTGTACTATGCAGAAACTATCTTTAATTCTATCTTCTTAAATACTACCATCAATTAAATATCAACAGATATGACCTTCAATATTGCAAGGTGCACGTTTGTTGCCTCCTGTGCTGTTGCTAATGCTCTATCAATAACAGCCCCATGTAGACATGAGGAGCGGGGCTTTTGCAGCGTGGAGGGCATCAATTGTAATAGATAATTAATTACTTGTTGTTTTTATAATGATCCCCATTCATGTCTCCATTTCCCTTTTTGACGCCACTTTTTCTCCTCAGGGGTCAGTTCTTGTTCAAGCCTCGTCCTGGGGAGCAGCATCCTAGCCATTCCTATTACAGGAAAATGTACCCCAAAATTATACAGGTTTGTGATCATCCTGACTGCTTCTATAATTTCCAGTTGTCTACTCATGTTCTTGGAGAATTCTGTGCTTTACTTTGATGCTCAAAGCCACTTATCAAAATTGTGCATTAATCCATAAATCGATGCATATTTGTTGTCAATTTTATGGTAATTACATCATAAATATTTATTCATAATTTTTTGTACAATGTGATTAATATATTGATTGAATTATGGATTCAATATTGTTCAACGTCCTCCAAATGAATTTCTAATATCGTTCTCTGAATGTGAGGTTCAGGTATAAAAAAAAATTTCCTTGATCTCTTTAAAACCTCACATTTCTTCTTTTGGTAGTTCTGGTTTGGCAAAAAGATGAATAAATCAGATTACAAATTATAGCATTTGATTAAAATGTGCCACAAAGTCAACCAGTCCCCATCTTAAATTTAACATGCAAGTTACTGAAACAGAAACTTCCAGCCTTTATATTCTGCAAGTTATGTTCTGAATGTCTAACCATTTAAATATATTACAGAATATTAAGACAATAGAAGCCAATTGGCGTATGGGTCGTCATAATCTTCAGAAGATCAACTGTCGCTCTGAGACATCCAAAGGCGTCTACTGCTTACAATACGATGACAGTAAAATTGTTTCGGGTCTTCGGGACAACACCATCAAAATGTGGGACAGGAACACTCTTCAGTGCTACAAGGTGTTTACTCTTTCCTGCGTGCCTGGGCAGCAAAGTTTGATTGATGATGAATGAAGTGTATGTATCGGTTATAGTGATACTACACTTTATTTTCTCAGTGCCCTTACCATGATTAATGACCAAATGAAATTTAGATAGTCACAGTATCAATGAACTTGAGTCTGATCATTGACCTTCTCTGGTCTCACTGGGCTTATCTTCACAATTTTTGTTGCCTAAGCAATTGGTTTATACGTTTGCATTTATTGATGACAGTTTTTAGTCTATGAGTTGGTTGCTCAGAAATTCTTGTTCATCTATTATAGTTGGCCATAAAGGGAAAGTACTAGTTAATTCCCCTTAATCTGCTGGTTATTACTACCTCTCATTCTTTTGTAGGCGAATTGCAGTGAAAAAAATCTAATGTATCATAGTAAGAAGGTTGAGATGTACGAGGTCTTCAACATTTTGGAGCATATTCAGCCTATCTGCAATGTGTCTGATAAATTAGTGTTACCCAAACAGGTACTAACTGGGCACACTGGCTCAGTACTGTGCCTGCAGTACGATGAGCGCGTGATCATCAGTGGGTCATCAGACAGCACCGTGCGTGTCTGGGACGCACACACAGGAGAGATGACCAACACCCTCATCCACCACTGTGAGGCAGTGCTGCACCTGCGCTTCACCAACGGCCTCCTCGTAACCTGCTCCAAGGACCGCAGCATTGCCGTGTGGGACATGGTCTCTGCCAGCGAGATTAACCTCCGACGCGTGCTTGTAGGCCATCGTGCTGCCGTCAATGTTGTTGACTTTGATGAGAAGTACATCGTGTCTGCATCCGGTGACCGCACCATCAAAGTCTGGGGCACCAGCACATGCGAGTTTGTGCGAACCCTCAACGGACACAAGCGTGGCATTGCATGCCTTCAGTACAGAGACAGGCTTGTGGTGAGTGGGTCTTCTGACAACACCATCAGGCTGTGGGACATTGAGTACGGCGCCTGCCTCCGGATATTAGATGGACATGAGGAACTTGTGCGATGCATCCGCTTTGATAACAAGCGCATCGTGTCAGGCGCCTATGATGGCAAGATAAAAGTCTGGGACCTGCACGCCGCACTCGACCCTCGCTCTCCAGCAGGCACCTTGTGCCTTAGGTTAGCCCACTTAGGAATTATATTTTCTGATGACCTTTCAAAACAATTATTATCTTGATACGATTAGCTTTATTAGTAATATTATGATTGCTTCAACTGATTCATCAACCCTGAATGAAAGCACTAATAATTGAGGCAATTAAAATAAAAGGCAATGAGTAATTTTACAGTTAATTTGCCCATAAAAAATAACATTACAAATGTCACTCACCAAGTAGTAACAGTTTCTTATGGAGCTTGCATACCAGCAGTTTTCTCAAATTCATTGAAACTCGTGCCACCTTCTGGTAAAGATCAATAGAGTTTACCCACTATCAAGGCGAATTGGCATAGCTTTTGAGAATCATTCCTTCCATAACACAGGTTTCTTAGTAGGCAGTGATTTATTATGAGCAGAAAATTTTACAATACAAGGAATACTGACTTGGAAGCAGTTGACTGTTAGAAGATAAAAAAATTGCTGACCAAACTGTCACAGGTTAACTTAGCTAAGTTAGCTCATAATTTAGTATGTAACTAACGTCTCACTTGCTTTGCAGAACTCTGGTGGAACACTCTGGTCGTGTGTTCAGATTACAATTCGACGAGTTCCAGATTGTATCGTCCTCACACGACGACACAATCCTCATTTGGGACTTCCTCAACTGCTCCCCACCAGACTCTCCAATCCCTCCAGTCCAAGCTGGAGGATCGTCAAGTCCCACCTCAGATTCTGGCCTAGTCCCCCAGGCTGCAGCAGCAGCTGCTGTTGCTCCCTCAGTTCCTCCCGCTGTCTCTCCCTCACTACCCCCAGCTCTTCCCCCCTCGGCTCCTTTCATGTTCGGGGAGGCGAGAGGGGCTGAGAGAGCCGTTCCAATGCCCTCTCCCCCACCTCCCCTTCCGTCCAATGATTCTATGGATAAATCTATAGATGAAGGCCAGGATTGATGGTAAGCTCCCATCATATAGTATCTAATTGCTGATTATTGATCCTTTATATATCAGGTACCGATTCTAAATAATTCAAGGGTCGCATGCTGCCAAGGCAGTCCCGTAAAAAGTGTTGCATCATTTTCTTTCAATTGATCATCATTAGTCTATGAATGCATAGACTAAGGATGCTATTTGTAACATATTCGTATGAGTGTTGCCATCAGGTTAAGCGATATGCGAGGTGAATACAATTGACTTGCAATGCATGAAGCTGACGGCCATGCCTGATTGTTGATAGATCATCGACTTTGTCGCGCCGTTAACTGTAAAGTGTAGCAGCGAAAATCCCGTTGATGTAATGAGTTCTAATGTTTGGTTGTGTACCAAGAATGTTGGAGAGGCCATGACATGTTCCTCACTGTCACCACTGATATGTGAATTGTTGTGCTGTCTTGCTGAACTTCATAATGTCCTTCCCCCAATCGCCACTGACATGTTTTCTTCCTGTTGCAGACACTCGGGAGGCTGGCATGTGGATAACGCGCTCATTGCGAGGATACCTACGTTTTAAGCACAGTCTTTGTTATTGTTGTTGTAGCGCTAATAATAGGAATACTCTTGTGTAGCTCGACCAGCTGTGTTGCACTTCATCTTTTTATTATCATCATCCTAATCATGAAATGATGCCAACTAATGCTGCTCACGGTATCGTTCATACCACCATTTTATCATTTCACTTTCACTGCTCATCTTTTTTGCTTCTACATTTCATTTTGTCTTGTATTTTGGTTTATGTTTCACATACCAACTTTTTTCACTTCACTTCCATCACTCTACCTTTAGTTCGTTTATTTATACACTTGCATTATCCTTGGTGCGGGGTCACCCTGGTGTGACGTACATACTCTTGTCCACACCACAGAATTCATTGAGGTAAATTCGTGTACATTTCAGTTGTTTTGCACGTACGAACGTTTATTAAATGACTGTTTCATATGTGTTCAGCACTCCTGTACTGTTATCAGCGTTTCATGTGCGTAAATGTTAACATAAAAACGGCTCTACGGAAGTAAGGTTTAATGAGTTGGACGCACTCCTGCCTTCTTCTAATTACCCATTAACAGGTTTTTGCGCGAATATTGTGACGCATTCAACTATGGAAGGTCACATTGTGATTTTTCCTTAAAATAAGCTAAGTTGTAGGCTTGGTTCTGTCTTGAGAACATCCAAGCTGGACTTCGAGCGTATTGTGTCCCTAGATTTTTTATGGGGGAGTCGAAGAGTGTAGCGACTCGAAGTATTTGTACTGTACTCTTGAATAGGTTCACCCCCTACGCCTTTCTGAAGCGCATCTGCAGTTCCGATAGCAATTTTAGTGGTAATAAATATTGTACAGGTTCTGATGCTTGGTCTGTGCACACGAGCACTGCTGCTTGTGTCGCGTCAGCAATGGTCGCTTATCTTGTTTTTATTGTTATTGTCCCATCAACACAATCGCTTACGATGACGCTAATCCTTTAGGCGATGGCTAACAGGGCGGTATGATATCTCACGCCGTGCTGAGTAAAGAGCTTCGTTAAATCATTTCCCTCGGGTCTTGTAAATTTTGAGAATAATATGTTGTAAGCTGTGCAGTTAATGCATCTATTGATTTAAGGTGCTGAACTATCTGGCCTACTAGCTGTCGGCCTGCTGGGTTAACTAGTGCTTGACTTGCATTATGAGCTGACTGTGTTCATGTAAATGATTTAGGCAAATCGTCGTCTGCTGCGGCTTAGCTATCCAATGAACGATAGTTCTTGGTTCTGTATGTGACTGCGCCACACCTGTCTTTTGCATGCTATTCATCGTTTTGTATAATTCCATTTGTTATTGTATTACCTCATAAGTAATTCTAGGGGGCAATATTATCAAAATTAGTCCTGGTGTCAAAGCGAGTGTTGAAATTGGGGTTCTAAGCTGACGCGTAGCGAATACGATGTTCGGTGCATCGTTTTGATTTACGCCGAAATTTATCGCATCTAAATTTTGAAAAATTTCTATTTATTTTTTTGCACAAGTATAGGAATTAATTTGTTAGGACTTCCTTAGGGATAAGATAAATATGCTTTGTTTTATTTATGGACCGTTGTAAAAAGTCGTTAGTACCCTCGCTCACTTTTTGTTCATAGTAAACGTACCATGTGTTCTATGTCCACTTTCTCCTATATTTCGAGTCTCGTAGTGAACATTTTAAGCGATTTTTTACTCGTCCACGTGTTTCTCCTTCACGATCTTTCCTTTCTAATAAATCACATTTATTAATGATAACGATCGTAGATGTTCGCTTGTTTTCACAGACGCATCTAGGCTCTTCATGTTGTATTAGGAAACTTAATGTATTATAGCGTTTACAGAAGCTACACCGCAACTCTTCACTGATTTAAAGATTCATCATTTGGAGTCCGAGTTTGATTCTCTTCCTGCTTTAATCTACTCAAGTCCAGAAATCGAACATTTCAGCTCGACCAAAATAAAAAAAATGATTGAACATTCTCGCAATGGTTTATCCCCGGGAAAAATTGAAAGGAATTTACAGAAAATACTTTATAATGACAACAACCTGGCTCTTCTTCTGGTGACTCTAATTACCAGGCTTTGTGATGAAAGTACGGTGCTTGACCGTAGAACATAAGCACATTCTTATAATCCTCTGGCTGTTGATGCTATGTCATAAACACCTAACTGAAGAAATTTGGTATAACATGTCACTAGATATATCTTGATCGAGAACAAATCAAGCCCATCATGAATTTTCCTATTTTTGACCAATATTGAATTAAAATTTATTTCTAAGTGAATCCATCTGTGTACCTGACGGTTGGTTGCAAATTGTGAAGCCGAGAACGGAATGAAATCGTACTTATTTAGCGACTGTTCAAGTCACATGTTCGAATTTTTTTCCGGACAGAATTGTCATTTTGTTACTATTGTTTGTTATACATTTTTCTTTCTAATGCCATACTTTTCTTTATTAAACTTCACGTAGCCGAATTTGCAACCGAAGTGAAATGCCGGAGTATTATTCTCGTGCAGAGTCACGTTTCGTCGAACGGAATATTTTGTGTCGTTGGCGTTGTAGAAAACTAGAATATATTGAGTCATATTACATTCAAGTCAAGCAAGGTGAAGGTGATGTAGCGTGTGTCGTGCTGAGCTACTGTGACGGCAGTCAGCTGTGGCCGGAATCGTGGAGGAAACAAAAAATACAACTCAGTACTCACTACAGTGAGTGACAGAGAGCGCATTTTCTCGTCGACGAAAACTTGAGGTCACGGACAGACAGACGGGCGGACGGACATGGCGAGCACAATAGTGCATTTTTCCCATAAATGAGAAAATGCGCTAAAAGAACTGCCTGTTGTGGATCGTCCATGGCCTTCTGTACTGTCCCGTAACGTTAAACCGATTGTTGTTGGCTGCATCGTCCGTCCTGCTGGAAGCTTTCATCATTCCTGACTCACGCCGCATCTGAACCATCCTGATGTGTCTCGCCATCTAGATAAATTTTTGTTTGGCTGCCTCCCAGGCGTGGTTGGCCTCACCAGGTTTGGTTGACGCCCCTGGGTGTGATTGGTTCAACCAGTCACTTGAATGCTGCCTCTCAAGTTGACGCAGCAGCCTGCCACGTTCATCACATTCTTTAACTTCAGAAGACATTATGTATGGCTCGAGAGAAGCCTGTTCTGTTAAGGGTATGGGATTACGTCCTCTCAACAGAACGGGAGACGGGATTACGCCGAGACCAGAAAACTTCAAGCGTTCTGATCACGGGACGTTCTATGGATCCGGGTACTGAATGTTTTTTTAGGTCACCACGCCTCAAATCACATTGGTTGAACTAGTTGAAATCATTACTAATTGACATGGTTGAACCATGTCAAATCACATGCGACTACGTGTGATTTTTGGATCTCCAATACCGAGCGTAAACATATTAAAATACACTCAATTGTGTTTAAAGTAAAAAACAGAAAATTTTTGTTGACATTTTCAGGGATTAATTAGAGTAGGGTGTCATGGTAAGATCCCATGTGAGTAAAGCTCTCAGTCCTTACATGGTCAAGGGATGGGGGTAGGGGGAGGAAGTCCAGCCATTAAAGGCTGGAATGCATCATCACATTGCTGTGTGACACACAACACCTATGGCTAGGAGATATCTTCAGGAGGCAGCACGCCGGGTACTGTGTTATTTTTGTTTTAGCATAAATACAGCATAGTTTATATATCTCCACTCACCATTCTGGTATGGAATAAATACACTTTCTGAGATACGATTACCGTCAATGGCAACAACTAACCTAAATATCCAATGAACGAAATCGAACTCTCAACTAATATGCTTTTGTTATACAGAAGAGTGCAATTGAATAAAAGAAAAACTGAAGCCTGGTGATGTATAAATATTCTCAGTAACATGTGAATCACAAAGTAAAGTCGAAAGGTCTTTACTGAATGAACTCCTCTGGCTCCCTCAAGGCAACCAATGCACGTTCGACTTTCGTTTTCGGCAACAGCTGCCGACGATCGGTGAAAATTCCATGTCACGTTCGGTGGGCCTTGCACTTCAATATTCAGTCTCAAAAAATACATTTTAAAGTAGAATAATTAATAGGGAATCATCTGAAACATCATACAATAACCGCTCCGACACTCGTGGGACGAATTTATGAGCGATTTTTAATAGCAGGTTATCCACGCATAAAATTTTTAAAATTCAAACCGATCTCGATCACATTTTGAACTAAGCTGTTGGGTCGCAATACGCTCCTGGGAGCGTTGCTAGATCTTTGTTTGATCGCTTCTATTTAATTAACGTACAGACGTCAATTTTCGATTATTTTGATAAATGAACATAAAAGGGGGGCTTGAAAATATTTTCGGGAGCGGAAGCTTTGTGTTAAGTAGGCCTAGTAGTAATAGACGACACTGATGGGGCTTGGGAATTTGTAAATTATTTATTTTATTGGTCACTCATCTTTGAAATTGATCAAAAAGACGTTAAGGGAAGAATGGGTAGGATTAAAAATATATTTTGAAGATGTTTTCAAATGAAAGGTCAGATAAAGCTCATTGGCAACTAAGTATTTCACGTATTCTACTGGAAAGTTCACTATACAATATATATAACACAAACTTCCTCTCTCACGGGGTTAAAAAATACGTATTTTTGTGTGATACATGCCTGCACCAGCGGTGGTGCCCAGATTATTTCCTACTCGGCTATAATAACTGCAAAAGAAAAGTCTGTTACAATACTGAATATTTTTTTCCGCTTGAGTCTACCCAAACATTTACCATAACATGCGATACCAAATAATATAGAATAACAACACTTTATAAAACGCATGCGGTACAAGAATAATTTGTAGACTCTACAATCACACTATAAAAGTTAAAAGCGGGCTTGAATATTTAATAAGAACTTTTATAGCGTTAATTATTAACAAAATTCATTGCGAAATTCATTGCTAACACAACTGCATAGTACCGCAATAACTCTGAATAATCAAATAATTATGTGGCAGCGTTACTATATTAAGAGGCCAGTTCGTGCTTACTTACGCAGGCGGCAGGCTACGTTATAGGAATTTAGAACAAGATTTTTTGAGCGAAGAACAAGAAGCCTTCAAATTGTAGTGCTAACAAATATTTGATGGTTTTTATTGAAGAGCAGCAAGCCGCGAAGTGAAACTTCATAATATGCTGCGTGGTAAATTGTGTCACTTTCAGTCTCAGACTCTCAGATGATGGCTACAGCCAGTAGCTGAGTAGGCAAACAAGGGTACTGTTTAAAACCCTGTCCGGATTTCAGTCACTTGGTCCGGGTCCAGCGGACCGGTCAGGATCCGGGTTTTAGTAAGTACCGTAAACAAGGTGTAGGCAGCCGCCACCCCTAAAAGATAAACTCTCTTCCGGTTCGAGCTTAGGTCGACTACGGACGTGTGTATGCGAGTACATTTTTGAATCGGTGAATAAATAGAAAAGAGTCTTAATTTTGAGACGGGCACCTATTTGGACTACCTTGTTTGTACGAAAAACCAGCAGAATGCCCAAGCCCAAACTCCAAAGCTAAACGTAAGAAAAAAGAACAAGGAGATGGAGCATCAATATCATCGGACTGCTCAGAAACCTATTCTGCTTCCGGTGTCAGCATTACTAATCCCTCTGCAATACCCACCTGGTCACAAATGCCACCTCTCAGCCTTGAGGACATTGTACCACCTACTCCTAGTACTAATACAGGCAATGTCGCAATGAGCCTGAGGTAAGAGACCACTTGGTTAATGATGACATTGAAGTCCTTGATATTGGTGATACATTTGAAGGCTTTCATCCCACAATGGAAGGCCATATTGATGTTGATATACCTACCTCTGTGGCTGCCTCACCAAAAACCAATGCTCAGTTGGGATCTCACTCATCTCAGCCTCCTGTACGTGTACATCAGGATGGAATTCTAATTTTGAAGGTTCATATATTATTTCGATCCACCAAGACCACTTTTTCTATCCAACATTGTTATTTGAGGCAAAAAATGAACTTCTTAAAGGCATAAAATACATAGGCTAACTTGCTCAGTTTCTATAAATTACCTAACCACTTGGAAGTTTTATGCCTGCACCTTTCACTCAACAATTAAACTTAGACTTATATAAAGTATTAGTTAGTTAAAAATTTGTCTCTTAAGTTGACCGCAATGAACTAAACTTCATTATGTAATCATTAGGCAGGGATTTCCATCATGCGACACTAAACACGCAATTCAGAGTTCAGACGATCAGAACTACATCAACAGTTTAGGCAAGGGGCTTTATGGACTAGCTTCCAGTGCTCCTATAAGAATAAATTAGAAAGAAAAAAAAGATAAACTCATATTAGTCTAAAGAATTTACGGTATATGCTTCAGGGTCTGTTTTGAATTTCAAAGTTGAATTTCTAGTTTGAGCCCTTCCTATTACAAAATATTTTCAGCAGGAAATTAATAATGGCTGAAGACAATAATGACCCAATTTTAGGTGGAAGTGAATCTTCAGGAGATTTTGTTGAAGGTTTTGCTAGTATAAATCCACCAGGTAGTCCTTTTCAAAACTGGCCAGGAGGTGAAGGAGGCTGGCTTCATCAAATTGTGCTCTATGCTGCCAAGTAAGTTATATAAAATTTAACCTTTCAAATTTGGAAGATTCCTCATTCCACCTTAATGACCTTATAACTGAAATTTTGCAGCTCCAAATCAAAGTGATGAACCAGTGATTTTTTTAGAATTGGTTCATGTAAATTGAGTAGTAAAATGAATATATATAATAATAAATCAGTGTCCTCTCAAGAGGCAAGTTAGCTTAGATTCCCAGAACCCAAACTGGTGCAGTTATCACTTATCAGAGACTAGTCTGGAAAAGTCCTATTTTTGTCTGAAATATCGCGGCTCTAATATCATATAATTTCAGTAGGTATGAAATCTCGCGGCTCGAATGTCATAAATTTTTGTTTGATTAAAAAATTGCGGTTTGCACTTTGCAAACATGTCATTTCATAAAATTTTCAACTTCCGCAATCCGCATTGCTTTACCGTTTCCGCCAAAAATATCTTGCAGAAAAAACATAAACATCGTAATGTAAACAAATAAACAAAACGTTTGTTGAAGATCGCGCATAGTTGCGGTCATGTCAAAGCGGTCAGACTGTATATTAATACGTGCTGAACTTACACTTACAGTAGAGACAAATTTTATTGTTGCCATTTGACTGTTTAAGGGTAAAATTAGAGATTTGGGGTAACACGTGCATAAACTTTGTAAATAAATTCGCATTCGCACCTCGTAAATGGCTTTTCATGGCCGAGATATGGTATTCACGGCTCGGTGAAATAGAATCACGGCTCGTAGAAATGGAATCACGGCTGGCAAATCCATAAAACCACAGCTCAAAAAATTCAGTCGCGGCTCGCCAAGTAGATATATTCCATACTAGATCAGAGATTTATGCTCCTGGTTTTTGGAATTTACATTCAAGAATCATGATTCTACTTTGTTTTCTGGACTAGTGAGAGAAAGAAAGAGTACACTAAAAATCACACGATGAGAAAATGCAGTACACCAAGACAAGCTGAGAAAACATCTCCCTTTAGCCTTTAGGGCTGTGACTGCCAACTAGAGCTTTCCTGCCACTCTGCCATTTCCTGAACCGTGAGATTCCCGCAAGATTAATTACCTCCTATCTAATTGTTAACAAAAGGGTATTATTGGGCTGCAAGTTTCCAAATGTATTAAAAATTTGTCACACCAGAGCTGCGAGGTTTAAAAAACAAGTAGGAAAATTCCAATCCAGCGTGACCAAGACCATAAACAAAACAAATGAGCTCAAACTGAAGGTTTGGGCTACAATTGTACAAAACAATGCAAGTCCTCCTGCAACACTCACACTGTATCTACAACCTTTTCTCATACAGGCTACAGGGATATAATTTCCAAAACTACAATTTTAGAATTTGTTTCGAATTTTGGCAAAAATTGATCGTTTTACCATTTAGTACAATTTGACTCTGGATATTTCCATTAGTTACACACAAGCTATTATATCCATAAGTATTCCTTTGCAATCTTCGTATGTTGCTCATTTGCAGATTGTCAAAAAGGAAGGGCTATTAAATTATGAAATATCATTCATTGGATCAGTTGATATGTAATTTTTTTTGTCATAATGTGTATTCAAAACAATTATGTTGGGAGCCTTGAGACAATGTTTACACAGCAAGCTCTGCTGGAAAACATTACTGCATGTAATATGTGCACACTTCTGAAGGAGTGTATTTTCTGCTAATAAATCATTTGAAATATTAGCAGTTAGATACAAGTTCTTGCCTGTCTTTAAGATTATGCTGCATACCTGGTTTGAATTTCATCAAAATTATAATGAGGTACACCAGCATGATACATGAAACCAATGATCTAAACATAATTTTGAGGAACACCAACAGCTTGAGGAGATATCACTGTTAACCAAACTTTGGCACTAGGATAACGCGTTAAGTTTGGTACAACCCACTGATGGGTTGCAGGGTCTTTTTTCTTTAAAATGCATTGGCTCCCAAAATTTATGCTGTCAATACTTCCTTATTAAATTTGAAAAGATATGAAGAAAAGGTATATTTAATTTTGCATAGGAACCTACAAATTTACTTAAATTTGTAGTACATCCTGGTAGTAATAATTTGTATTACTTAGGTATTTATTATTCGTAATTAAATTTGGTACTATTTAATTAAAGACCATTTTGGTCTGTGGACTTGTGCCACAGTCAACATGTTAATGCATTTATGTACCGTATTGAGTGGAAATTGTTATGATCATTTGTTGAGATTCAACTTAAATAGGTACCTACTTTGTTAATATTAGAAACCAGAAATGAAAATGTTTTTGTTTTGCAGGGAGCCTTGGCAGTTTTGTTGGTATGTGTTGCTGCTGCTCTCTCCCATGTTCTGCATCAGTGCTGTCCTTTCATGGAAACTCGCGCAAGCTTTGGATGCCCAAGAAAAGGTCTGTACCGTCAGATGATGACAAAGTGATGCAATTGGTAATAAATTTCTTATTTGACATAAACTTAACAATTGAAGATAAAACTATTCAAAATTGTGAACTTCATTTGCATTTTTTCATTAAGTTAAGGCTCATAAACACCATCATTATTTACTGATCTAGTATCTTAATATTTTTTTTTTGCATTCATAGGGTATTCTGAGTACGTACCTGTTTGCAGCAACTCGCCATTAAATTAATTCAAACAGTAAACTGGGCTTGATGGCCTGCAAGTTTATTAGTACTTAATACTATTAAAAGTATTCATTGATTGTAGATCAATACTAGTATTAGATGGGAAACAAAGTCTCAAGTTGCTGGTAGAAATGGACTAAAACTCCTTTAAAAAATATTAGGTCTGAAAAATGGTGTTTGAGAAATTCAAATTCTCCTCTTTCAATGGGTTTATTATTATTTTTTTGTTTCTACTGTATATACCTATATTATAATTAAAAATTTTGTATTTTCAGGACAAGGCAAGAAAAAACAAGAAAAAAGCCAATCTGAGCAAAGTGAAGAAGGGCAAATCAGACTGAATGTTATTTGAATATTATTACACATGTCAATGTGGTAGGTACGTAAATGCCAAGCTGTGATTGCTTCGAAATTGGCAGCATTATGAAAGTGCAGTTGAGGAAAAATCCCATTGGTTTTTGAGCTAAGACTTGATTTTGTATTGCAGATTGTAGGCATAAATGTCAAGATTAATTAAATGTTCTTGTATGTTTTCCAAAAAATATCTATTGCATGATGTCAGTATCTTAAGTGCTTGTATAACATCATTCCATTGAAAATGTTTGAACTAAGTTCCCATTCATTTTATTATTTGTTTTTGGAATATTGAGACTTGACTTTTCTATGAGCACTTAGTTGATAATGACTAAAATATTATGCAGTGAAGTTTCACATTCTTTTAGTTTTACATGAATCTTTGCAGTAAGTTTCAACTGAATAATTGACTGTTTCTGGTGCTCTGTTTCAATCTATTGTTTTCATTGTAGTATGTGCATATGTAAACTTATATAAATGCATGTTAAATACTTCAATTCCAGTCAAGTTTACTTGAATGACAGTGGATTCATTAAAATCCTGTATTTACTTTCCATTCTATGGCTTTAGATTCATTTCTGGAAACAAAGGTTCCACATTCCAGGGTCTTTTCTTAGGTACTGTGTCCTGCCGTGATACTAGACTCATTATTTGCATGTGTCTGGTGTCAATGTGGCATCTAATTATATTTATTATAATTATATTATGAAATTAGATCATCTGTAATTGAGAGGTAGTACCGTATTATTCACAACGTGATAGAGATTCAAGGAAAAGTACACTAGACTAATCCATCAATCCATTTCAATGAATCTCATATCACGTTAAGTGAATTTTACTTGTCAATTACAGATTATCTAATCTTAAAATATAATTATAATGAATATAATGAGACACCAGTTTGACACTGGACACAGGGGGTGTAAAATATTTTTACTAAAGAATATTTTCACTCAATAGAATATTTTTATTCAATAGTCAAGATTTTTACTTGAACTATTCCACGATACTGATTTTAGCTCCTTACTGTAACTCAACCTGAGCTAATGTACGTATGCACTCTTCATGATCATGAATCATTCTCATTTATTCATTCCAATAAATTGACAAGCTATCTGAGTAGTAAATGTGATAATTCTATTGGTTATTGGGCTAGGGAATTCAGTATGAGTTTGAATTAAATATATAGCCAATTGGAATCCTGCTATTTGTAAATTGTATTTCCTATTTATTGTCTATCTTTTGGTCGAGAATTAAGATTATAGTTTCTTGTTTTTGTATATCCTAAAGTTGTGATTTGAGATTGTAGTATTTCCAAAATATCTTATGCCCTTTTTTAGTTTGCATATGTCACGGCAGTGAGAATTACAATTATTTCGTCCAGTGTGTGTTTATCTTCAGAGAGAAATAGAATTTATTTGTTTATACTGAAAAAGTTGTATTTATAGAACTTTATTATGAGAACCGTCATACCTCATATTCTTTCATTACCGAACTGGTAATCGTGGATAGAACTTCAGCTAATACTGCCTGGTGGTACTAATCCATCGTGGCCTGGGACTGCTATGTCCCAAACAAGTACTAAGGATACTAAGGTTACTTTTTGGCAACTTACACTCCTACTGTTGTGTATGAAATTGTAAGCAATATCTAACAGTTATAAATTATTTATCATGTAATACTTCTCATTCATGACCTTAAATTTAATTTTTATTTTTTCATTTGGAATCTAGATGAAGTCTATGCTTCAAGTTGGTTCATATTACATAACCAATGTTAGGTTGGTGTGACCAGCTCAGTTATACGGCACTTTTATATCCATTGTTTTCATTTTATTTAATTTCTTCATCTCGTTGTTCAAGACAAAATTATTTTATTCTTGATTGCAACTATTGAATTGTTGTAATATAAGCAATGCATAACTGTTCTTTCAAATGGATCAAGTTCCTTATGTCCATCTTTTTTCGCTCCTCTGTTGCATTTTGATTTTTTCTCACTAACATTTATAATTTTGTGACGTGATCTAAGCTACCGTACAACAACATTATCCTTCAAACTGCTACTTAACCAAATTTGTATATAATTGAGAATCCGAATTTTAATTTATGTTTAATTGGGTATCGGAATTTTATACCTGGCATTATTTCACTGTCTCCAAAAATTATACATGCCTTTTTATCATTTTGCATCGGCATTATATACTTCCAATAAATTATTTGTTTTTTTTTTTCTCTTTGTCTATGCAGATCGAATAATAGCTTTGATACTCTTATAATATTTTAAACAATAACATTGTTGAACTAGGTTTCTGAAAGAGCTTATTCATAGCATTGATAAGAGCACAGCTCATGTGATCAGAATTAGAAGCTAATCTGCTTGACCGTGATGGTGTCTGTTGGTTTGCTTAAATATTTTCCTAATATCTCGCACTGGCTCTACTCTATTTTGTTTTTACTTGCTTTTAAGGTTTCTCAATTTATACTATCATTTGATTTGAGTTATTGTTTTGATTTTTGAGCTCATAGGTGCTGTTTTATTCCATTTCTACCTGATTTACTAGTGGTTAATGTGAAGGCGTTCGGTGGCCAGTTATTTTTTTTCTTTGCGTTGGAGTGTCTTGTGCTGATTGTGTTGCAGACTGGGGAGCATAATGCAGAAATTTGGCCAGGGAGAAACTGTTTGAATTATGTGGACTATCGCACACAGTCGAAAGTTCTATTTGTCTGATGTTGGGTTGTCACTAAAACGTAACTCGTCATTAATGTTATAGTTCGTTGGCATTTCCTGATTACGTATATTTTACTTGTGTTTTTTTGTATTTATGGGATTATTTTGTAGTAAAAAATAAATGATTTCTTTGTGAATATAGAAACGAATAAAGGAGTTTTAACTTCGTCCTCGTACCCCTATTTGTTATTTACATTTAGTTGATCATCGTCCGGGAGTTAAGCTTGCCAAGCCAGCAACTGAGATGATATTTTGGTATTAAACATTTGCAATAATCTTATTTAGTGCATCCATTGGACAATTGTAAACGTTCATCTCACAGAAATTATATCATTTATAACATTCTTAAGCGTACAAGATCATGATCTATTAGGAATAACTGCATGTGTTGTGCATGGCATGGATACTAGGACTGTTATCCAGATTTATTCACCGTATCTAGAATTACCCGTGACTCATTCCAGTGGATGATAACATATGAAAAAATTTATTCTTCACCATCCTCAAAGTCAAATACATAGCAGGCTCAGTTTAGGGCCTAGCAGTAGTACCAAAATTGCGATGTAATATGAATTTTTCATAAATGAATCCTATTACACAACATTTGCATCATATGCATCTTATCTAAACTAAACTAAAATTTTGCACCATCCTGTCGTCGACAACGCTAGGCAAGTCTCGACAACGCTAGGCAAGTCTCGACAACGCTAGGCAAGTCTCGACAACGCTAGGCAAGTCTCGACAACGCTAGGCAAGTCTCGACAACGCTTGGCAAGTCTCGACAACGCTAGGCAAGTCTCGACAACGCTAGGCAAGTCTCGACAACGCTAGACGAGTCTAGACAACGCTAGGCAAGTCTCGACAACGCTAGGCGAGTTTCGACAACGCTAGGCGAGTCTCGACAACACTAGACGAGTCTAGACAACGCTAGGCAAGTCTCAACATCGCTAGGCAAATCTCGACAACGCTAGGCAAGTCTCGACAACGCTAGGCAAGTCTCGACAACGCTAGGCAAGTCTCGACAACGCTAGGCAAGTCTCGACAACGCTAGGCAAGTCTCGACAACGCTAGGCAAATCTCGACAACGCTAGGCAAGTCTCAACAACGCTAGGCAAGTCTCGACAACGCTAGGCAAATCTCGACAACGCTAGGCAAGTCTCGACAGCACTGATCGCGACTCTCCAAGATTTTCCATAAAACACTAATAACAATAAAAAATAAACTCGATAGTTAGGATACTGGCTATCATTTTATTAAAGTTTGATGAGGTTCCACCGACAATTTCAAAGTTACAAATATATATGAACTTTATTGATGGACTCCTAAAGTGTCGCGAACTCAAATAAATTTGGCCTAATCACGATGGAATTTCGCTCTGGAAATTTCCTTTACTAATTAACCCATTGAATTCTTAAAATTTCCTTTATGTTTTCAAAATTCGATGTCTCCGGGACAATATTTATCAACCAGGCGCTGGTAGTAAGGCTTGAGAGCTTCAACGTCAGGAACGACTTCCTTCTTGGTGTACAAGTCGAACTTGCTGCGAGGGAACGAAACAATTAGATTTTATTATTTATTAAATTATTAATTTTATATTTCTTATAAAATGTAGCTGCGAGGGAAAGAAACATTTAAATTTTATTAGTTATCCTGGAATTATGTAGACATTACAAGCTTATTTGATAAGGAATAGTCTCGGATGATTGAGAGGAGGGAAGAATAGAATAAATAATTTTTAGAATAAGGGTAAATCTGAATTTATGCTGGCAGAGACGCCTCTATAAAACATTGAATTAAGAGTAGGGTCACGAATTATAAAATAATAAATAATTGGAATTAATTACATAGGATTTCGACATCAGAATAGTTAGACAAAAGTTATTCATTACCAGATAAAACCGTAACTCTCTATTTTTCTATTTTACAAACTATGCCTCAATAGAGTTTGTAGGTTCGAATTAAGGTCATTAGAGAGAATTTTTATTCATTGGTACTACAGGCACCTAATCCTGGTTTCTCCTACTTTAAACTCCTGTTTTCTTGAGGTTTCATTCCTTGAGACTTGAAGCGGTAATTTCGCTACACACTCCGAATAAATTTAGATGTATGCGGTATGCCAGTTATTTATATGCATCGCCTAAAGCTGATTTGTACTGCCCTTTATTGTTGCATTTATCGAGGCTTTGGACACCAGCTCTACGCACACCTTCACCTTCATTTATATTTTCATCAGTATGCCTATTAACTACGCCTATTCCTGGGTTGCTTGCCGCCGGTTCCGACCCTCTCCTTGATCTCCATCCATACCGACATGAAGCTTGTTAATACTTTTAGATGAATATTCCTAATTCGGGAAGACCGGTTGCCTATTGACTATTTCCCCAGCCTGAACCTTAATCAACAGTCAGAGTTCTTTTTGAAGAGTGAAGGGCCGGACACGAAAATCAAAGCTTATAATAAAATTTGAAGAATCTAATTATGAATCTTTACGTAACCTCTTGTGTAAGAACGTAAAATTTCTTACACAAGCCTGTACCAGCATCGTTACGAGGTATCTTCATACAACTCATTAGAGAATAACGTTCACTCTAAACGTCGCATCAATTGTAATAACATTAACATTGAATGCTCAATCTCAGAACTTAAAACCAAATTTGATGTTCTGAAGAGGGGAAAAGTTTAATAAAAAATTGTTGATGAGAGAAGCTCTTTGATCTTTAACAGAATTTGTATTTACACAAGTTCAGGGATAACAACTCTGGGTGATTCCTCGTTTAGCGGCTTGTCACTCAATTGTCATTTGCGCATGAATTAATGATAAACATTATTTTTTGGCCACGAAATTATTTTCATTTTAAATTACTACCACTTTGTTCCCTATAGTGCAGTGCACATCGTCATAACCCGCTGCCCTACGATTATGTCATCGAGGATAACACATTAACATTAGCTTCATCAGTATCCTTCTGTCATACGATTATTCCAAAGAATATATAGCGAATTATCGTATCCTGCTGTCCTATGTTTATTGCGCAGACGATAGCATAGCATCATATCTCTCTTCTGTAAAAACACGTCATGGACGAAAGCACATCTACATTCATCGCTGTCTTACGTTTATTTCCAAGATTATAGTGCATCATCGTATCTCGCTGACATACGAACGAAAAAAAAAAACAAGTTGCTAAAGCGTTATTTTTCACAGGGATTCAGCTTAGCTGTTATGCGTGATTTATGCGATAAAATTGTGCGCATTTAAAGCGTAATTTCTCTGCAACATTTTAATTGCACTTCATATATGAAATTTTTGCATCGCCGGTCGTCTTAAATGTATTGATTTTTCTATCTTTACTAAAGAACAGCAAGAATGTATTATGTGTAACTATTTTTTCTCAACTGAGCAGTAATAGTAACTCAACCATTTGTAATAACATTAACACTATTTTTTAACTATTAACGCTATTTTTCACTCATCTGAGCAGAAAGAGCGACTTGCTGGATCTTATCTCTACTCAACTGAGCAGTAAGAGCGACTCGCTGGATCTTATCTTTACTCAACTGAGCAGTAAGAGCGACTCGCTGGATCTTATCTCTACTCAACTGAGACACCTTATCATGTCGAGCGCGATCTGGGGCCTCACCTTATATCGAGCGCGATCTGGGGCCTCACCTTATCATGTCGAGCGCGATCTGGGGCAGCGTGCTCTTGTTATGCTTCAGGACCTGGTACATATATTCGTCGTGGCCCCAGGACATGAGGATGGAGTCCAGCCCGCAACCTTCCTTGTACATGCCGAGTGTCGTGCTGAAATTTAATAGCCGTTGTGATGACAATATTCAAGAAATGTAATACAATTGATAAGAAATTTAATGGGTTAAAATAAATTTTTTGCTGAACTTCTCTGAAAATTTTTATTTCAAAGTTTCAGAAATGAAACGCGCGAAGTGTACTAGAGTGTCATGCTGAAATTTAAAAGCAATTTTATTGACAACAGTGAAGGAATGTAACACTCTTGAAATGAGATTTACTGGGTTAAAATAATTTTTTTGCTGAAGTTTTCTGAAAATTTTTATTTCAAAGTTTCATAAATGCAAAGTTCGAAGTACAATAATTTCATTGAAAGATTCCATTAAAATAATTGAGAAAGTATGAGTTTTACTGACTTGTAGAGCGGGTTTTTAGCGTCGGAGTTGTCGCGGAATGTTGAGTCCCGCAGGACCACCGAGGGGGCGGCCGAGCAGCCTACGGGGTAAGTGTCCCCGACGACGGCCCACTGCGGCTCCCCGTACAGGGCCATCACCTTCAGGAGGAGGTAATGGTACAGGTGGAGGTAATGGCACAAGTGGGAGTAATGGCACGATTGAAAGTAATGATACAGTTGAAAGTGATGTCACATTTACAGTTAATGGTTTAATTAATTGGAAGCTATAGCAATGGTGAAAGTAATGGAACAATAGGACGTACCTGGACAGGTGGAAGTAATGGCACAGGTGGAGGTAATGGCACAGGTGGAGTTAATGGCACAGGTGGAGGTGTGGCACAGGTGGAGGTGTGGCACAGGTGGAGGTGTGGCACAGGTGGAGGTAATGGCACAGTCGGAGGTAATGGCACGATTGGAAGTAATGGAACCTTTGTAATTGATGGCACAGGTCGAGGTAATGGCACAGATGGAACCTATAGCAGTGATGAATGTAATGGCACTATTAGACGTATTGGCAAAGTTGGATGTAATGGCATTGTTGGAAGTAATGACATAGTTGAAAATGATGACACTTTCTGAAATGCACAAACTTTTACGCCACATGCAACTGTACCCAGTACAATCACGTCACATAAAGTTTCACAATATACGGTGAAACTTTATATACGACACATATAAACCGTATATGGTGATATTTATGTACGACATATATGATATGACATACGATATATTATTACATTTATATACGATATACATACAGTTACGGAAACTCAATCTATGCATTAATTTATGAGCAACTAAAATTCTAATAATAATTATCTATTATTTGGTGTGTTATTTACCTTAGAACAATACGGAGAACTGAACAATTAGTAGGGCAAATAAAAATCTCGTCTAAGCAGCAATATGCAAGTTTCATCTATTTAGAAAATATTCTACATAGGGGAAAAATACTGCACCTTCCCCAGGTCATGGATGAGGCCGGTGAGTTGCATCCAGTCCTTGTCGGGATGGTGCGCACGGATGCGCTCAGCCGTCTGGTATGCGTGGATGGAGTTGGGCAGCGCTATGTCCGGGTCGCTGTCATCCACAAACGAGTTCAACTTGTCCAGCGCATCCAAAATACCACACTTGAACTTGTCGAACTTTGTCCATTCAGCGATCTGTACATCCACCAATTAATCATGCTTAATAATTTCATCGACTTATTTAATTAACTTTATAAATTAAAATTAAAAAAATTTAAGTTTAATTTTATAAATTTAAATTGCTTTTTTCAATCGAAAACGTAACTAAATATTCATTTATTGTGAAGTCATGAAATTTGCTCATTATCGAATTGAGCTAATAGTGAAAAGCTAACGATTACTTATTAAACACGCATTGAGTTTTAAAACTCAAATAGCGTATTTATTTGCACGCATTGAAATTTACTGCGAGATCTTAGAACATTTGAGGGGGGAAGCAAGCTTGCATGCACAGCACATTGGTTATTAATGGTATCGATTTCATCATCAGATATCATTTAAATATTGAGCAAGTAAATGAATATATGAATCTGAGTACAAAAGTTAAACGTTGATTGTTTCCAGTTAATTTATATTCTAATCAGCACTTCCCGGCATTTAAATAATCCCACCACTACGCGTTTTCATTGAAACGTTCGTCAACGTTTGAACGTTTTTATTCTAATTATGATAATATTTCTCCTCGTTTTTTTTTATTAAATCCTTAGTGTGGCAATTTTAGATTTGTAATGAACTTACCTTGCTATTTACAAAGTCCACTGTTTGGTGTGTATGCATCTGTAGGTAAGTTTCATAAACCGTCTTTTGTCTGGCATCTTCTGAGTCGGAACTGTATTTTCTGAACTGCCATCCGCATTCTTTTATCACCTTCTCGGGACGAAATATCTCCGAGGGATCTTGCAGAGTAATAGGAGGAACGAGTACCTACAAAGTGAACGTTAACAATTACCCAAGTCATGTTCAGTGTATGACAACCCAGTAAGGTCACCCTAAGCTTATCGAACCAAGTTTCTAAAACTTATTGGTAGAAACAAGATTTTTCGCGATTCATGATAACTTCAATTACGAACTTAGGAGGGTTGGATATTCGTACTTCGTGATCTCAATTCGGCTTAATAATTCAAAATTATGAATAACAAACAGCATCATTATTTGATGGACCAGGATTTTTACATTTGATCCGCCAGGATTTAGAAAATTAAGGGTTTTTGTGAACGGAGAAAAACTGCAATCCCGGGTTATTAAATTGTAGTAAGGTAATCTTTAGTGGTACATTATATGTTTAATGCACCTCTTTAACCAAGCACCTTCCTGTAGGCCTAGGTAATATACGCATCTTTCTTCATTGAGACTTCACTTGACGGAAATCTGGGCAGAATGTTTATAGTTCGCGATATTTTGAATGGCATTTCTCTGTAACACTGAAGCGGTCACTCACCTTCATGTCAGTCCACGCGTACCGGAACCGTTCGTGGTCTACGTATCTGAAATATTTGAACTGTAAAGCATTACCAACAGGGAAAGGCTGCTTTTATATACAAATAGTCATATGAGTGTTTTGCACAAAATTGCGAATGAACAAAGAATTCAGAAGCTGAGAAAACGCTGGGTAAATTCAGATTATATATTAACGTTTGGGAGACCATCTCACTCATCAAACCTAAAGAAAACAAGTAACTCTTCAACTGAATAGCTTGTTTGCTTCAAGTTTCCGAACCGATGATAGCGATGGTCCCTAAAACATGTTCAATGAAGATAGATCGAATTTACTTTGCTTTTTTTCACTTTTAATCTCGTGGTATAATGATTACAAAATTTCATCTAGTTGATCTAAATCTAATGAGTTTCATTGGATCTGTAATGATCTTTCGTGCCGAGGTTGAATAAAGATCTCCCAATCAAAACAATTACTTTAATTAAACGATGAATGAACTCTTAAATTAGGAGCATTTGAATAAAGTTAAATAGAGCATAGGTTTAAAGCATAGTTTCATAGCACAGCACTGTTCCTTCATTCATATGCTTAGACATCAGCACAGAACATAGTTCCAGTGCACCGTAAGCATAGTTTCCAGTAATCCCAAACACAGTATTAGAGTTCATTATCAGAACCCAGTATGATATCTTTCAGAGATTGAACCAAAACCGAATCTTCAAGACGTAACGGCTTCTTGTGGACTTCTATCCTGGTAGACTTCTCCCTACATGAACAATTATCCAACAATCAATTGGATAATTTCCCTAACAGTTATCTCACATAGTATCAGCAAACATATAATGAATACAATATTGACACATACAATAATGACAGAAAATCACAACTCTAGAATATTAAGCATACCTCTGAAGTTGTATGAATTCACAAACTAGTCCTTGCTTTTAACCCAAAACAAGTCTGCCCTGAATTCGTACGCTGCTACAGGATCGTCAACTCCTTAACATAATTCTACCTTTCACATATTGGTTACTTTTGTTCTTCTCAATCAATATCTCGAAGTACTCCTGAATATTCACCTAAGATCCCTACAGGATATATTAAACTGAAAATTATGCATTTTATGCATAATTATGCATAAAAATTATGCCACACAAAGTTAGCTCCCAGTACATTTAGTTACACTGAATGACAATACTCACACGTAAGTTTCAATACAATGACCGCAGCACGAGCTTGTACAAGTGATGTCGTTGGCACAAAGCTCTGCGCATTTCTGGGGCTGCAAAGACATGCAAGTTCTTTCATAGCCCGGCTACCCCGAATTGGGCATCATTAAGATAATAGAGTGCAATTGATAAGCCGGTAAGTGTTGCAGTGCCTTCTGTTGTTTGTTGTTATTGTGTGGCCGCTTAATGCGATGTTATCTCATGCAAGCTGATTAGCCATGTTTAAGGAAAAATTATTCAATAATTGTCCTCAATTGAAGCATGTAGGTTACGGCGGGTTTTCTAGGATTATGAACTAGCAATTACTTTAAGGAGGAATATAATCATGAGCGCAAACTCTAAAGTTTTGTTTATATGATGAGCCACATTAATTTATTTTCTTTTTCTGAGGCAAGTTTCTCTGCTCCACTGCCTGGGGCAATGTGAACTGCTCGTATGAACTGCATAATATGTATGTTCTAATAATACACTACTAATACATAAATTTGCGCCCAACTTTTGAGAAGTATATTTGATCCTTAAATTCATGACAGCCAAATGAAAGGAATCATTTATCAAGTGTATTAAAGCTTGTCTAACGTAAACAGTCTATGCTTTATCTATGCCAGAGTGCTTGTATAAAAGGGGTACTTGTGATTGATTTATTGAGGACAGCTCGCACTTACGTACAAACAGAAACGCAAATTTTTAATTAATGCCAATTACGACGTTTCTACAACCGGGACGATTATTAATTCACTCAGTTGATTATATCAATACTGTACTGTTGTTGACCCAAATAATGCGATAATTAATTACATTATTACTTTAATATCTTTTGCAGGTACTGAATAATACACTTAAAAATATATTTGGAATAGCGTAAATATTTACAACTATTGAATTTTATTTTAAACAAAAATATTTTCAACGTTTCGAGTAGAGTGCACTAATTATTAAATTTTTGACATCTCAATCACTCAACCCAGTTCAATCCCAGAAGATCATAGGGAGGATCAATTACCATTGCAGTTACAGAACATGACAATCATGCATCGGATGTCTTTTACAGTTACAGACGCTAGTGTGTAGCAGCCTGCAGTAATTGTCTGATAACAATAACTGCTACTGCATAACTGTAAACAGTGCGGCAATGGAAGCTTCGATACGCACTTTGTGCAATAATGTTTCTTGGAATTTTTTTTCTGTTCCTTTCTATCCATTCTCATGTCGATGTCGAGGTAGATCCAACCATTATTTGGTTGGATCTACCTCGACATCGATCCAACCTGTGATGGGATTAACTTTCAGCGTTAAGTAATGGAAGCGGTTAATCAATATTTTGAAAAATGCCACAAGCAATCAGCTTTATATTAACATCTGAAAAACTAAAATATCGGTAACTTTCAATCAAATTCCGTATTCAGATCATATTTCATTTTGAACAAGGGAAAGTTCCTTTAGTGCCCGTAGTGTTAGCGACGTCAACAGCCTCAACATCAAAACGCTAGGAATATAAATAAAAACTGAAAAATAAATGAAATAAAATATAATTAAAAAGTTTTATCTTATCACTTGAACGGTTCTGTGAACTCGACGAACTTCTTCTCTATTGCATTCGGGTATAAATGTCCGGGCATCATTCATTTACTACTGTTGTATATTACCAGATTAGTCGTTCTCATTAAATTAATTATCTTTTTCTAGCTTACAGTGAAATTTAATTTCTTATTATATAGATGGGATATAAATATTTGAAATAGTTACTTTCCCGCAGGTTTATTTATTTATTTATTGAAATCGCCGAGAGATTGAATAATTATCAATTTGTTTCGCCCAAGTGTACAGTTAAAATATATTTCGATATACGAGTTGGATTTTCACGTGAGCCCACAGTTCACAGTTTTTACTCACCTACAATTGTTTCAAATGAAGTTATTTGTCATTGCGGTTATTAAATCTGTTAATATTTGTCGTTGTCTTATTTGATTGCACGCCACCCCATTATTTATATGGCCTTCACATTTGCGATAGCTGCAATGCCTCTTAATTTTGTCTTAGTTTACCGTATGCTATCACTCATCCTCGCAACAGTTTCTTAATCTAATCATTTAAAAAACACATTTTAAGAAGAAAAAATATATTATTTTTACTAATTCTGTCAAAAATTAGACCCATATCGTTGCGGCAGCTGATACTCGGACTCAGCAATTAGGGTATATATAAAAACGATCCTAAAAGACAATAAAAATATTTGTATTTGGGTTCTACCAATACGCCTGCAATTAACTTCAGGGGCGTTACCATGACAACAGCTGTGCCGCGTAGTCATGGCAACGGTTGTTGTTTGTGTCTTCCCGGAAGGAAGATCTCGGGCGCAGTGCCATGTAGTGGCAGAAAATTGGCAATTCTTATGTTTTAGTGGTGGTGAAGAAATTTTGAACTCGATCAGTATACGCATTCAAATAAAATATTTTCTTCACTTTCCGTTATATCAATAAATGTGATGGAATTGAATGTCAGTGTACAGAACGAGGCAGGTTCTTCTCAATTACACAGAGTTCAACGTTCATACCATATTTCAGTAGTCGTTACAGTCACTAATTGACATTTAAGTTTCCAAAAGTCTTTGCCTATCCGGGTTTACCGGAAACTTTGAATTCCTTGCGTGTATCCTAAGTTGCTAAAGCTTCCGATGCTGTGTTCGCCAGCCATTGTGTTTCAATTATGACTTATCGATTCATTTTAGCATTGTCCGAAGATTTGACCGATTCTCGTCGTGCCTGAGTTATCATATTAGAGTCAAAAAGGTGCGTTTTTTGTTCAAATAATTGCTAATTTTTAACAAAGATGGCCTTTGATTGCGTTCAAATATTCCAAAGCAGGACAAAGAAACGGAGACTTTAGAAACTGGAAGACTTAGGTTTTGTGAGTTTCAAGTAAACAATATTTTCCATTTTTCCAAGATAAATCCACAACTTTGCGAATCCGGGATTTGTGTAACTACTTTTTGAACTATAGAACCCAGGGACATAAATTCATTTGGAGTTTCGGGAATTCAAAGCGAAAATTAACTTTTGCGAAGCTTCCATAAGCGATGAGATATTCTCGTGTTTGTGTGTTAAACCGAAGAAAACTTGACTTGAATTTGAAAATCTATAACTGCATCATTTGGAAATCTAGAGCTAAATCCTTTGAAAATCTAGAGATGTATTCATTGGAAATCCATAGCTGTAGTCTTTGGAGATGAAAAGCTGAATCTTTTGCAACTCGTGTGCAGTAGGTCCTTTGAATATCTACATCTGTGTCCTTTTATTTCCCTGAAGGACCCACTCAGAGGGAACTTCTGACGCGTGTATGTGCTCGTCCGAAGTCCTTTGGGATTTCGCGCTCCTAGTGGGATTGTTCCTGAGCGCCTCACCGCTGAGCTCGCGGTGTCTGACTGTAGGTCTCAGTTGTGGGGTTAAGTTATTATGTAATATGTAGGTAGGATTCCTTGCAATTCCCTTCTCTGTCTCTCGTGCGGGCGGCCGACGTCCCGTGTAAGCGACCTCTGGTTAGAGTGTCTTCGTTTCTGTTGCTTTTCACCTGTCCCTTCTTGTCACTTCGTCTCTTTCGTATACTGACGCTGTTGCCTTCGAGCCAGCTTCAGCGGGCTGGACAATTGAGACCTACCACCACTTGTGGGTGATGATTAATTTGAGATTTTGAATAATTGAGACTTTCCGCCTAGCTGGCGATGTTAGATTTGACCTCCGGTGCGAAATAGCTTGATAGCTGAAGCGCTAGCAAATCATTCTACTACTACTACTTACCTGAAGGACATGGATGGGCCTCAACGGGTGTCCACTACGAATGAAGCCATAGGCTTAACTTCCCTACCCACCCAGCCTAAGAGGAGGTCGTCCATCAACTGTACAGCACGAAATGATCTTCAGCCTACCCAGCCTAAGAGGAGGTCTTCAATCAACTGTACAGCACGAAATGATCTTCAGCCTAGCCAGCCTAAGAGGAGGTCTTCCATCAACTGTACAGCACGAAATGATCTTCAGCCTAGCCAGCACAAGAGGAGGTCGTCCATCAGCTGTACAGCACAAAATGATGATCAGCCTAGCCAACACAAGAGGAGGTCGTCCATCAACTGTACAGCACAAACTGATCTTCATATACATTCCGATCGACGTTATTCACCTGTTGACATACTAGCAGTTGGTACAAAGATCAAGAGCATGGATGTGCAGGAAGATGACAAAAAAATTAGTTTGCCTATTATAGCTCCCATGACAGATATCAATGTTTATGGTGCCGCAAAATCCGCGTGTAAAGCAAATTTCGATGCAACCGATTTTGATTCAGACAAATTTCCCCTGTTAAGAACACTATTGCAGGAAAGTGCATGTGCTGAAGTGTCCAGTATTCATGGAATGAAGAATCTATCGTCAGTATCAAATACTTCAGAATTGCCGAACTTTGGATTCAGCGGAACCAACGCACCAGAAAAAAACGACAAAGATTTCTCCGAAAAGCGAAAAACTTTGGCAACATCTTTATCGTCACCAAACTTGTATATTAATCGCAGCCTCCATGCAGAATTAGCACAATTTATGCCATTAAGAGACCCCGCAGAGCATCGCTGTGTTTCAGCCAACAAGATATCAAGTTATTTCCCTAGGAGCCTAACATTAAATCGCTCAATAAAGCTCAATAAAGGCGCCATTTTTAATATTGATATTCCTCTAACCTCAGTGAGCGACGCCAAAAATGCTGCGACTTCTGGCAGGTTTTTTGACGATTTTAACTACGATATTACTGGGTCCAAGATGTCCGAGCTTGATATAGATAAAATTGAGCCAATAGATGATGCAATAGATGATGTAATGGATGACCAAGCAACCTTTCAACATGACCTAACCATCCCAGAGGACTCTGAACATTACAAAGAAAACGAGAACCATCCTTGTTCACACGGCAATTGTGACGGTCGCCTTACAAGCAAAGGTGCTTTGATGGTTCAAGTGAATGCTTCACCGTGTCGGAAATACGATGAATATCCTCCTCTCATCATGGAAGGATTTCAGACGAAAGCGGTGCTGGCAAGCGT